CGAAGCTTCAAAAGTATAAAGAAATAACTCTTTCCTTCGAATGAGGACCGTAAAATGTACCACACTGTTATCAACAGCCGAACTACGTATCTTACATTTATTGAACGGTAGTCCAAATAGTATGAATCTAATAATGAGATGTTGTTTAGACTCCGAAAATTTGGGCTTTAGATTTCAATTCACTACTGGGTACTAAGTCTAGTTGGCTATAGTCTTGCCAGATATATGTTTAACATTATCAGAGTCCTGCGAGATGAGGAGTTAAAGAGGCATCAGTTGACATACATTATTTTTTATATAGATTAACAACACCTCAAAAGTTTTATATTTCATAAAAAAAAGAGCTCAAAGAAATATTTTTGAAGTACCAAATCGACAAAATGTCCATCTTCATCAACATGTATATCGTCTCATGTAGATTACAATTAGATTTGGTTTTAGAAATGATTAGTAAAAAATTTAGACTTGCTCTGAACCGTCACATATACTCTGGTTCAGAAATACTCTCAATAGAATATGGACTTTGCAGAATTTACAGTACAGTTTTCATTTTAATGACGGAGTCATACTCAAGCTTTAATCTCACTATCAAGCAATATTTATAGGTCTGGATGACAATGAGCATTGGTGAAAAGGAACTATTATTGCTAGACCTATGATGAGATCGAAACATAAGCTTAGATTCAATCCTAATACTATGAAATGACTAAAATTACCATATTACCATATTACTATATGATTATTTTGTACAGAATAATCAATAAATTCAAAATTTTGAAGTTTTAAAGAAATGTATTATACTTAAAGATGTTAAGAAAAGCAATATTACTACCCATTTACTTGCATGAGAGCGAAATTAAAGTCTTTTGCTACCCACAACTTTTCAGAAAGTTCACTAGGGAACCAAGCTCACATTGGAGCTATTCAGCATCTGGTATGTCTTTATAAGTTGTGTGGAATATTAGTCATAACTATCTGAATGATTTTTCCTCTTTATTATCTATGTTGGTTGATTACAAATAAAGAACTTTGTTCAAGTTTTATGCCCTCCTGTTGTGTATGAAAAATTCCTGTAGAAATGAACATGTTACATCTTTGAATAGAATTTTAGTAAGGTACCCGAAGTTATATTCCAAATAAAGGAAATATTTGTGTCAGGATTTGGCGAATAAGTTTTTGTTATATAGTAACATTAGTTTTTATATCGAGGGAAGATACAGAAATAGAGTGAAGCTTAAAATAAACATGACAACTCATCCGAAGCGTAATCTCTCATGTTAGTTAAAAAAGACTTTACATAAAAATAGAAAGAAAATAGGAATTACTGTATGTAGCAAACAGGCAGGTTATCAACAAAATATCTATAACGATACTTAATGTAACACTTTTTTGTTAAATTTAAGCAGCATCTTTATCTGATTCAGAAAGAAGTCAGCAGTTCATAGAAGAAGTTTTTTTAATATAAATTATTTAATGAATCTTAATCTAAAGTACGTAACCAGGAACATTACTACGTCTCTATAACTTAGGACAACATTACTGAGGATAGGTCGTATCTATTAGAGAAAACCATATCCTGGATTGTTTCACAGAAATTGAAGAATATGAATTTCACAATGTTTCAGATATCGAAAAAACAGATCTTACAGAACAATTTTCCGATTTCCATAAGTGGTTTATCGAAAAACATTGTCAGAATACAGCTTGTGAGAGCCATTATCGCATACTTATGAATTATATTTTCGTTATACAAACTAAAACGTCGATCCTAGTTTGTAAAACTTCGTATGCTTCTTATTGTATTGATTACACATATCTAGCAGTCAATATGAGAACACGAAACGTGTTTTGATTGATTTCTTCGTACTGCTGAAAATGGGTTGCACGAGAAAATAATCACTTACAATTAAATCTTAATCATACAGAAAACTAAGGAGTCGAGTTTGGCGACGATGAGAGATGTTGCCGCACAGTTGATGATTGCTCTTCGTCACGATTCATTTTAGTAAGTGTCAACTGAATATAGAAAAGTACGGTCTCTTCACAAAATGATCGTCTCAAGAAATAAAATAAATATATCTTTTTACATTAGCACATGTTCTTGAGCAGCAATTCTCAAAAAGGAATATAGTAGGTGGTAGGAGTGAAAGGTTAAGTCAAATTTAGTGAACGGTCAAGCGACTCGTGATAACGAATACTATTCGTATTGCATAGTAATATTAAACATATAATCAAATATCAACTGCAACATTTCGCACCTAATACTTTGCTCAATTGAAATAAAGTGAAGAAGTGATACATTGAGACGAATGCCATTTAGTTTTACCTTTTTCATCCCAGAAAATCTACTTTAAAAAAAACAACGGTTTCTCATAAAGTTTGACGAAACGCAAGTATGGTCAAGCAATATCAGTCTGTAATAGGCTTCGAGACATTCATCTCTTGGATTTCTCAGTAGACGCACAGTATTTCACAGAAGCTATCAGTTTTATTAAAGAGAAATCACGAGTACAAATAGTTAGAAGCCAATAAAGAATTTGGATTTCTCAAACCTGACTATCTTTTTTGAAACTTTACAAAAGAATGTTATTAGTGTAGAAAGTGTTTCTTGGATGAAAAATATAAAGTTCGAGTTTTCTAAAACTCAATCAGAGATTCAGATTTGTCATCGTCAATTCACCTCATTGAAGCGTTAGGACTGTACTAATACATGCAACTATGTGACTAGACATTTGGATGAAGACACGAAAACACTGGTCACAAAGTCATTTTATCTTATACAACCCTCTTTGCAGTGGAAGGATTAAGTCAAATAGCAACGCGTATAAAATGAGACTGAACAAGTTCTCAAGCAGAGATTTATCAAAACATGTAGATTTTCTTAAATTGAAATCTTTAGAAATCTTTGGAAATCTTTAGAAATCTTTGGAAATCTTTGAAAATCTTTGGAAATCTTTGAGAATCTTTGGGAATCTTGAAATCTTGAAATCTGCTTTTTCCCCCTTGGAAAACGGTCTATGGAAATCATTTCAAAATAAATTGATTACTCTGAAGGTATCTGAAAAGGTCTCGAGCTCTTGTAAATTCAATGAAAATTATGAATAGTGATTGAAATCCTAAACATTTCTAAAACATTTAGAGCCAGCTCAAAAGTACTCAAATACTTAAGACTATTTCTTCCTACCCTTTGAAAAATGTAATCTTGATACTTGCAATAAAAATCTTATAAACTTTAAAGAGTACATTGTAGGATCAAAACGGATAGGTTGTGATAAATTTTCTGTTCAATAAGGTTATGTTTAAGAGAGATATTCACTAAACCATTTATTCCATAGCCATAGGAAAAAAAACATGTAAACTCTTTTAATCTATTTACATATAGTCATGCTTGTTACTCACACACTTACACCCACGTGGTCATAACTACACATTTTTCCCTTTTAGTTTTTCAGCAAGTTCTGTATTAAAGTGTCAAAAATTTATATTCGTTCAATATATATATATATATACGTTTCTAATCACTATAGTAATCAATGTCGTACTTCTTAAGCTACGCAGATAGACTTCGAGCAAAGCATCTAAAACTTTACCAGCCGAAGTCAGCAAAATCATCATCGTCAACAACTGCCGAGCAGACAGACTCCAATAGCTTCATCATAAAACGAGATCGTCATCGAATCGTAGTACCTTTAGATGAACGTCTCCAAAATCTTCTTCTTGTATGGTTGGATGAAAAATTCGATGAATCAGTAGACGATTATGGTCATTCAATCAAACAGCTACGACGTACCGTCAATAAGGTTGAAACATTCCGCGAAACTGATGAATGTATCGAGTATATGCTACAATTTCAAAACCAAAAAATACTTCTTATTATTTCTGGTGCTTTATGTAACAGTGTTGTGCCACACATGCATAATATGACACAACTGTACTCAATTTATGTGTTCTGTCAAAAAAAAGAAAAGTATGAAGAATGGGCAAAAGACTGGCCCAAAGTGAAAGGTATTTTCACTGAAATTATTCCAATTTGTGATGCAGTTCGACAATCTGCTCGACAATGTGACGAAGATTCTGTCCCAATCGGTTCTGAAATCGAACCCTCATTCATGTATACACAACTTTTCAAAGAAATTATTCTCACAATCGATTTTGATAAAACGAAAGAAGTGAAAGATTTAGTCGAATATGCCTGTAAACAATCGGACTATGTCGAAAATAATGAACAGTTGCAACTTATCAATAAATTTGGTGAAGAGTATGCTAACGATAATATAACCTTCGAAATTATTGATAAATTCGGTAACCGCCATCCCGGAACTGTCGATGACAAACCCATTTGGTGGTACACCCAGCAATGTTTTACGTACCAACTTGTCAACAAAGCTCTACGCTCTCTAGACGTTAGTACTCTTCTAAAAATGGGTTTCTTCATTTCTGACGTTCACCGAAATATCGCAAAACTTCATCTCGAACAATCTAATGAAACTCATGCAGTTACTTTACCAAGTACCGTCTATCGAGGTCAAATCATGAGAAAGGAAGATTTTCGAAACAAAATTAAACAAGATAAACTAATATCCTTTAACAATTTCTTATCAACAAGTGAGGATCGTATGATTGCACTCAGTTTTATTTCTTCTACTGACGATAATATGATCGCTGTACTATTCATCATAACAATTGATCGATCACATTCATCTTCACCATCATCAGCAGCAATCTTTGCCTCCGTCAGTGCCATTAGCAAGTATCCAAACGAAAAAGAGGTTCTCTTCTCTACTCATACCATTTTTCGCGTCCAGAAAATCGAACCCATGAAAGAAAATGGAAGAATATTACAGCAAGTACACCTAACACTCACAAATGACGACGATGACCATCAGCTAAGTGGTCTCACCAAACAATTACGAAAAGAGATTACTGGTACAGGATGGCAAAAAATGGGTTTATTGTTATGGAAACTCGGCGAGAATAATAAAGCCGAAGAATTGTACAACATGTTACTCAACGAGGCATCAAATGAAAATGATGAATCCTATTGTTATCACTACCTTGGAGTGATTAAATATAATCTAGGACAATACAATGAGGCCATCGAATTTTATCAAAAATCTTTAGATATCAAAGAGAAAACTCTCCCTCCTAATGATCCCGACTTGGCGTATTCCTACAACAACATCGGTTCGGTGTATAATAACATGGGCGAGTACTCGAAAGCACTTTCATCGTATGAACGATCACTTGAAATCCAAAAAATAGCTCTCCCTCCGAATCATCCCGACTTGGCTGCTTCCTACAACAACATCGGTAATGTGTATGATAACATGGGCGAGTACTCGAAAGCACTTGCATCGTACGAACGATCACTTGACATCCGAAAAATAGCTCTCCCTCCGAATCATCCCGACTTGGCTTTTTCCTACGGCAACATCGGTTTGGTGTATGATAACATGGGCGAGTACTCGAAAGCACTTTCATCGCATGAACGATCACTTGAAATCCGAAAAATAGCTCTCCCTCCGAATCATCCCGACTTGGCTGCTTCCTACCTCAACATCGGTTCGGTGTATAGAAACATGGGCGAGTACTCGAAAGCACTTACATCGTATGAACGATCACTTGAAATCAAAAAAATAGCTCTCCCTCCGAATCATCCCAACTTGGCTTCTTCCTACAACAATATCGGTTTGGTGTATGATAACATGGGCGAGTACTCGAAAGCACTTTCATATTACGAAAAGGCGCAAGACATCTGGAAAAAATCACTACCTTCAAATCATCCACATATTGCACTTGTGAAAAGAAACATTGACAATGTGAAAAAGAAAATGTAATTGTTTTTTTTTAAAACAAGAAAATAAATCAGCCTTCTTGAACACGTTTTGCTCGCCGAAGCGTACCAACCACAAAAATTTCGTGCACGCGCGACCAGGGATACCCTCCGTATTCTGCTGGGTTGTACAGTGGACAAAGCCGGCAATGATAAGGCAAACATACATATATGTATGTATGACTAGTACATCCATGATCATCATCTTCGGAAAGACGATGACGAGATGGATGCTTCTAGTCATACATACATAGATGTATGTTATGAAAGCCTACCATCTACACGCCTGTACAGGTTACCAACAGAACGTCGGATATCCCTGAGAAGGTTCATTTTGTTTTAGAGCCACCCTCAAAAGCTCCGTTAGTTTTAAATTTTTTTCTCTTCTGTTACGAAGAACGAGAAGAAATAAAAAAACGCGATTAAAGACGACGTCGGCGGAATTTTAATACGCAGTGTATGATGACAACCGGTTGTTTTGACTCATGCTGTGATATCGAGTGCACGATATCTATGTCGTCTTTACACATGTTATGTTCAATTTATTTTTCTTTTCGTCTGGAATGTGTAAGAACAAATGAGATGTCGTGCACTCAATATCATGCTATAAGAGTGATGACTGAACGAAAGAAGAACACAAAAAAAAATTATCGACTGTTCTGTTTGATTAGTAACATATATATATATAAGAGATAATTGAAAGAAGAAAATGAAAAAGAAATTTTTATAAATTTAATCATTTTGTTATTGATTACATCAGGTTTTACAAAAATATTATTTTACGATCATATTGATTGAATATAATATAATAAAACAGAAGTTCAAATAGAACAAGTGCAGTAATTGATTTTTTTTAAATAATAATTCACAGTAAAAATTATCGATCTAATATAAAGATTTGTTGTAGAATAGTTTTTCGTTCATTCATTGATGAAGGTGAATATTCAATCGACGTTAGACTTTTTCCGTCAACTATTCATTCATTTATTATGATTATCAAAAAATGTTTAAACTTATTTATTTAGCTTTAAAATAAATGATTTGAATATAAAATAAACAAAATGGATAAACTAAGTAAATCACTTGAAGTTTTAAAATTATTTTTAACAACAACATATTATCGAAAGTTTTTTTTGATCTAGAGATAAAGGTGAAAATAATTTTAAATCAGTTACGACTATTGTAAAAGTATTCAAAGGTTTGTTTTATTTCAATTTCAATTAGATGTTCCATGGCGATATGACGAATCAGCAATTGCAATACATTCAGAAAAGATTCAACCATTTTATCAGAATATAATGAACTTTTTTTTT